TCCAATAGAATATTCTAACTCACATATTAATTAAGTTGACTTATGGCTGTACATTAATGTGTGTCAAAACATCTTAATCACTGGTTTCATATTAAAATCCAATTTCCTGTGTTTGTCTTTCAGGAAAACAACAAAACGTTTGGCATGTTATGTTATTGGCCATATGCTTATCCCATAATTTCTTTTCTTTATCTTGATGTGAAGCAAAGCCAACCATATATTTGAAAGGGAAAATCATCCAAAACGTCCCTCACATTTTGTAAAATGACTTTTTTCGTTACTCACTTTTAAAAGTATAATTTTATGTCCCTTACATATTCACATCGGTCAAATTTAGTCTCTAACTAGGTTTCAGATCATTTTTTGGCCGGAATCCATCACGTGCAAGGCACGTGATCATTTTTTAAAGGTAAATTTGTCAAATTATATTTTACATAATCTAATCTATAGTCCTCCGCATTTTATAAAACAAATTTTTTCTTCCATCACATTTTATAAAATGATTTTTTCATCCCTCACATTTCACAAAATAAATTTCTCTATCCCTCACATTTCAAAAAATGAATATTTCCATCCCTCACTAATTATGTGTGTGAGGGAAACCCTAAAAAAAAAATATGTGTGTGAATATATTTTGTTTAAACACATATATACATCTATTTGATTTTGCTTAATAATACGAATAGCATAAATATATGTATGTGTCTATTTGATTTCACTTAACAATACGAATACCATATATTATACGTGATCATTTGATTTCATCTGGTATTAGCTAGTAAAAAATCTTGCATTCATTGTCAAGTTGGCCAATAAAGCTATTTTCGATCAAAATACAATAAGAATATGCAAATTAAGGTTCTATTGGTAAATATTAGTCATAATCATACAAAAACAGAAGATAGCCCACAAGTTGGGCCCAATTACATATATGTGTTTATGCTATTATTATTAAGCAAAATCAAATAGACATATACATGTGTTTAAAAAAAAATGTATTCACACACATAATTAGTGAGAAATGAAAAATTCATTTTTTGAAATATGAGGGATGGAGAAATTCATTTTGTGAAATGTGAGGGATGAAAAAAATCATTTTATAAAATGTGAGGGACGAAAAATTTTATTTTATAAAATGTGGAGGACTATAGATCAGATTATGTAAAATATAATTTGACAAATTTACCCTTAAAAAATGATCACGTGCCTTGCACATGATGGATTCCGGCCAAAAAATGATCGGAAACCTAGTTAGGAACTAAATTTGACCGATGTAAATATGTAAGGGACATAAAATTACATTTTTAAAAGTGAGGGACGAAAAAAGTTATTTTATAAAATGTGAGAGACGTTTTGGACGATTTTTCCTACTTGAAACTATCAATTGGGGTTGAATTTACGCTTGAAAGCATGTAGTTACATATAGTATAGGTTTTGCAGTATCAAAAAATAAATAAATAAAACAATAAAAATTGAAAATAAGGTGGTAAGTTAATATGTTCTTGTTCTTTTTTAATTTAATGTGTTTTTAATTAATCGTTTAATCAAATTGTGGTTCTATGTTTGAAAAAAAATATAATAAAAAAAATTGCGATTCCGAGACAGATTGAAGTGTATCTTTACCCATAGTCCATAGATTTATGCCAATTACGTAACTTTGACTAAGCACAGGTATTGCCCCTCCTGGGATAGCTCGAGTGGTTTCGATCCCCCTCTTTAGACTATGTTGATCATGGTCCCAGGTGTACTTCGTTCGGATTTCAGGTTGGGCGCCTTCCCCGGCCCTGGGGGATTAGTAGGGTCGTAAGGCCCGGACACCCCTAGGTGAAAAAAAAAAAAAAAAAAAACTAAGCACAGGTATTAAGATTGAGTACCGGGAAAAAAACATCAATAGTAATTTCAAGCGGTACTAGTACCAGTACTAGTAGTAATTATAGTAATTAATTGGCCGTCTCGTTTTTTCTCTGTGTATAAAAACGAGCGATATCAGCAGCCCCCAAACAGGCAGGGGCGTCAAAGAAGAGGGCAAAATCTCTCTTCAAAGGGTCAGAGGGAAAGCAATTCTCAGCAGCTAACAGGCAGAGATGGGCGGAGGCAATGGCCAAAAATCCAAGATGGCTCGTGAGAGGAACCTGGAAAAGATAAAAAACGCCGGCAAAGGTTATTACCCATCTCGTTAATTTGTTCTCTCTTCGTACTATACTACTATTAGTACAAAATCTTAGCCACAGAAACCTTCTTTCTTCATGTACTGCATAATAGTTGTTGAATCAGATTAGAGTGCTGCTGAATGGGGTCTCTCTGATCTCTTGTCTTCGCAGGAAGTCAGCTGGAAACCAACAAAAAGGCCATGAATATCCAGGTCCTTTTTTTTTGGCTTTTTCTCTCAGAAACGAAATTTTAATTCAATTTCAAGCTTTGGTGGTGTAGTCGTTGATTTTGTTGTTTCTTCCGATCTGATCTATCTGTTTTGGTATTTGTGTGATACGTATGAGAAGACCCTTATCTATTTGAAAATACTGCGCAAAGGTTAAGATTAGAAGGTTTATCGGCTTTCAACTGCTAAATTAATTCCCGCAGATGCTTTTAGATAAAATTATTTTGGATCTTTTTTTTTGGGTTAATTTCCAGTTAGGCTGTGAAGAATCGGACAAAAATTGAATCTTGCTAGGCCACTTTAACAGGGTATTTTAACTTTTTATCCCTCCGGTTGTTGGAGGAACTGTTGTAAAAGAAAGGATTCAGTAAGATTGTTTTCAGAACCTATACTTTATCTCATGGTATATGCTTTTTACTCATTTCCTTGTTATTTTGCTTTTATCCCCCTTTAATTAGGGGTGGCTAATTCTTCCTCCCCCTGCCCCCCACTCCCCCACTCCCCCCGGGTGAGGGGGTTTCTGTGCTAATTTATATTGGGATCTTTTACTAGTGTGGGTTGATTGGGTATGTTATTGATATTAGTACGACTTTCAAGATGTTATCAGTGATAATATGCACAATACACCATCCTTGCTTCCATTTTTGTATATTGTTAGAATCCTTTATGCGTACTTCTCGTGTTTTAGCTGGATTTTTCTGGTGGCATATTCTGTATGTTATGCAATTTTCTATCGCAAAGTGTGAATTGTTGATGGATGTTTTGGACAAGCAAATCCTGAATGATATGCTCATGTTTTTAAGTACCATGTGGACCATGACACTTTGTGCCGGATTGAATGAGTTCTTTGCGTATTCAAGTCCTGACTTTCTGATGTTATCTCCATTGTGGAGTGATAAGAAAGATAGTTTTAGCACCTACCTCTTACTAGAGCAGTAGCTACTGGTATATTGAAGGTCACTTAGTTTTTGCTCAGTTTATTGGTATTCTTTAAAAGTAGAATGTTCACAGGAGCCTGCCATTTAAATAGCTATTCATACAAGTACTGAAGAAGGATGTGAATGACATAAGCTTCAAAGTCAGGTCTCAATTGTGATTAGGAAGCACTGACCATATAGTTATTGTACATCTAGAAACATGAGTATCTTCCATGCTGTACTAATTTGCTTAACTAAGGTTAGGTTTCTTAGTTGTTACCACTAATGAACTTAAAGAACCTTGTAAAGATTCTATGCCTGTGCAAAGTTAGAAGTGTGATTTGTATATGAATCTCTGAAGTTTATGGTCAAAGAAATAACTGGGAAAGAATATGTTATGTACCACCAACATCTCGTATGTGTAAATGTTTATCTCTTTCCTCGTCTATGGCCCTTTTGACCCAACAATTATGAGCTTGTTTTGTTTTTTTTTTTTTTTTTAAATGAGTACTTAATGCAAGCTATGCATGTTATCATCTCTTTAATCAAAATTCTTGTTTGATGTCAATGCAGTGCAAGGTCTGCATGCAGACATTCATGTGTACTACCTCAGAGGTGAAGTGCAAGGAACATGCTGAAGCAAAGCACCCAAAATCTGATCTCTATGCTTGCTTCCCGCATCTTAAGAATTGATATGAAAGTTGGCAACAACTTTTCAGGATGGGTTTCGACTACGTCTGTGATTTGTCAACATTAGCGAGTTTGAAGCTGTTTCAGTGCTGTTACTGAGATTGTGTTGCAACTTGTTGATGGTTATAACTAGTTTGAAACTCTTTGTGGAATATGTTGATAAATATCTTCTCTTATTCAAAATCTGGTTACTATCTCTGAAGGTGGGAAAAAAAAGTGGTTTTGCTGATTCTTTTCCCTTCCATTTGTGACCCACATGGATGATCATTGTTTCGGTTTAAAGTTTACGGGGCAAAGATCAACCGGGTAAATAGTTGAGGTGTGCAAAGTGAAATGAACCCTAAACAAAGTATAAAGAGCAAAGGACAAGGACATTGTTGCCCGTTCAGCGACTCGGGGGAATGACAGAAACGGTGACCTTGGTAGCCAAGCAAAGGCAGAACTACTCTTGAGATGAAGTTGACCGTCTCCTTTGATATCTAATGTAATGATCCCTCCGCCGTTTTCCGCAATATACGATTAAGCGATCCATGTTCTGAGTTTTAAAGTGGGCAGGCATTCAACAGAAAGAATTAGACCAAATTTACTGCCTGCGGCAAAAGCAGACTTGGGTTGTCATCCTTCGCATTCGTATTATGCTATTTGGAGCATAAACCTACATTTGCTGCTCACAACGTGCAAATATAAATACGAATTCTTGGAAAATTGATTCCTATCGCTCATCACCGTATAAGCTTTTATGATCACTATTGCTTGATTTTAAGGTCAGCACAATATTCTGTTTCAACCTGAGACTTTGGAAGCTCTGTAGGCAGCTTCCACCGGTTGGAAGACTAGCTTGACAACATGAAAGGAAACTCAAAAGAAGGCCCCACGAAAGCAGATAAAATTGTACATGTGAAAAACAAAACCTTCACCGAAAGCATAGTGGTGTTCAATTAGGAGGGTATACAGCAGCCAATCAGGTGCCCCCCCAAAATGACAATTTAACCTTCAAACTTGACATAGAGCTTACCTTAGTGCAAGAAACACCATGTATTTTTAATTTTACCCACACCTGAAAGACTTGGTCTTGTATTTGCACTAGAAATTTACAGTGTCTGAAGGATAAGCGTGCTGGAAGAATGTCGAGACAACATAAAACATTTTTAAACCCATTATGAAGCTTATGGTCCTTCCTGCACAGTAAATATTTCCTCAAAAAAAAAAAAAAAAAAAAGAGTACAACACGCTAGTTCATTCATAAGCAAGTGTCAGTCTACTGTGTCCTCATCCTACTATTTTCAGCAGCCCTCACTTGGAAGAAGTATGGATGAGCCTGAAACATCAAAAAGCATGTGTCAGAAATCAAAGCCAAGTAAGGCACAAAAAGGGATAACAAAGGCTTGCATATCAAGGTAGCTGGATAGAAAAGCTATATTGCTAAAAGTAGAAAGATTAGTATCTCTTTAAGTTTACTTGAACGCTGGACTCCAAAACATTCAAGACTTGGAAAATCAAAAAATTCTGACCTAAAAAGGTTTGCAATAAAATTTGCCTAAAGTCAAAAGTGCTAAAAAAAACTTAAACCAATGCAAGGCTAAATAAAATGGCAGATCCACAACAGGAACAGGAAAGTGCAATTTTGGACCCAAATCAAATACTCCCCGAGTAACTACATATAACATCGAGGACAAATTACTCAAAACAGCAAACCTTGATCACATCAAATATAACTTCCAACAGGTTCTGGAGAATCCAATTCAAAGTAGACTGGATCCTAAATATGAGTAATACTAGATTAATCCTCAGCAACAGAGTAACAAAAATTATGGATATTGAAGAGCATCCAGAATTACCATTGCTTCTTTTGCTGTAAGCCTATCTTGATGATCATAACGAAGAAGCTTGTCAAGAAAATCAATGGCCTGACCAGTCCATAAAAACAACCAAGAGAGTATCCAATGCTCACGTCAGAGCAAGTAGTAGTCAAAAGGCAAAATTAATTTAACACAGTATATTCATCACCTCAGGGGAAACTAGATGCTGATTGTCAGCATTAATAAACCTGGACCAGGGCTTCCTGCTGTGCCTGTGGTAAAAAAATAAAGACATAGAAACTACACATTAAATTTAAAAGTTCATTGACAGTCCAGTAAGGCATGGGTTTGACAAATGAAATTTTCTCATAAGTGAACTTTCAATTATGATTAATTAAAAGTACCTTCCAATAAGAGTATCAAACTGCGGATCCAATTCTAAATGATATTTGGTCAAATAAGCATTCAGCTCATCCGTACCAAGAACCTATAACATGATAACATCACAGATAAGCACTTAATCTTTGTCTAGAGCTCCAGGTGCTGTGTGACTACATGCCAGACAACAAGAACCTGGAAACTAAGACAACGCCTAGGTCAAGGATTTTAATTATGGATCAGCAATTCTATGTGTGGACTTGGAATGAATGATGAAGAATTATAGACTTTGCAATCACTTGTATATGGTGAGACCTAAAAATATCTGAACTAATTAGAGAATTGGTTTTGGCATCATGCCAAAAACACACAGTTGAACTCAAAAAATGCCATCAACTGTCCTCTATAATGTCTTTCAGTATAAAGCCATTCTCTCCCTAAAACTTGCAAGCCAATTTCTGCCTCATCTCAAGATACAACCTCATCACACCAGAAACAAGGGAATGAACCAAGTAAGCGAAACACAAGTACCCTAACAAGTTGAGGTTCTGAAACATATGACCTATTTTGTGAGAAGACAATGACAGCTATACTGCTTCAAAACACTTACAGACAAAAAGGAACCAATATTTCTGGTTATCTTCGCCGTCTCACTTTTTCTCTGTGTTTGTGTCTGAGGATGATTGGATATGAGGTGATGTGCCTCTAAGGAGCCAATATTAAACAAGTGCAGGTGACAAGATAGTGCTTCAAAAAATACCTTGGCAATTTTCACAAGCTGATCGTGGTTATCATGACCATAAAAGAACGGCTCCTTTCGAAAGATCTGCAGGTTGACTTTAAAAATTTTTAAGGCCACATAGGAACAAAATAAAGGCAAACAAGCAGGAGAATAAGCACAAAAAGCTTACCATCCCAGCAAACATACAACCCAGGCTCCAGATATCCAAAGAATAGTCATAGTCTTGCAAATCCACAAGTAGTTCTGGTCCCTTAAAGTACCTGAAAAAGAATTATACAGAAAATTAAAAAAGCAGGACTCAATATATAAGCTCAAGAGCAATCTCTCAGATCAATATATAGTCAGCATAAAGTCAGTGGAGAGACCTAGCAACGATGGGTTCTAAGATGAAGTCAGAAAAACAGACCTTGAAGCCACTCTGATATTGTATTCTTTGCCAGGATGGTAGAATTCAGCAAGACCCCAATCGATCAGTCGAAGTTTCCTTAGATCATGATCAATCATAACATTGTGAGGCTTGACATCCCGATGCATTATTCCCTGTGAGTGGCAATAATCTAATGCCTACAATTAAGAAAAAGGCAACGCTATTAACCTTGCTGTATGGATGGAACCTCCAAATATTGCCTACTTTGACCACGATGATCATGAGGCATTCACTCAGAAATGCAAGAAAGAGTACCCTCAACAGCATCTCAATATAGACAATAGGCTATGCACACGAAAGAGTACAAGCAACTGAGAAGGTAAGAAAGAAACAAAGTGATTCAACAGTTGATAAGCATGTTCTGCTTGTCTTTACCAAATTCTGATTAAAAAAAATTGAAAAGATCACCAAACTTCTTTTTACAACATTGATCTGCTATCTTCAATTTACTGTGCATGGTCCCCGGCCACCAAGACTATGTAACTGCAACATAAGACCATTTACCAGCTTCATTTCATACTTTTATATGCATGACCAATGTACTCAATTACCATAGAATGTCTTAAAGATACCCAATAGCTGGGAGGGAAAATGTTCTGTTGTCAGGTTCCAAGTCCAAAATTATTGACCAAGCTCAGGAAACAGCTGAACTCAAATGCACCAATGAGAAAGCCAAACAAGTTTGGCTTTCAACTTGCTCGGACACTGTAATGTACTCATGTTGGTGAGGATTCAGTAAGATGAGAGAGGCGCTTCCATGCATTCTCAAAACAATTTGCATGTAAAGAAATGATAGGATGGATATCTGTTGCATAAACTGTAAAAAGCAGAAAGCATCCAGAAAATCTAGACGTAATGCAGAAATCTGAAACTAGATGCAACACAAGCAGAACTTCCTGATATCTTTCAGCATTCACAAAAGTGACATCATAAACGTCCAAAATTTATATGAAGGAAAACACCCATTGCCTGAAAAACTAATTAAAGAATGTTACGAAGCAAGAGGAACAAAATGTGGGTGCGAATTTGTAAATCCAAGAATTTCAGTAAAAATCCAAAAGGTTACATGAAGGAAAATACCCATTCCCGGGAAAACTAATTACAGAATGTTACGAAGCAAAAGGAACAAAATGTGGGTGCAAATTTGTAAATCCAAGAATTTCAGTAAGATAAAATGAAGCACCAACCTTGAGAAGCTCATATATGTAATAACGTATGTCATAATCTGTCAGCGTTGGGTACAAGACTTTAAAATCGGTGCTGTTCACGTACTCAAAAATCAAACTGGGTGTTTTCGAGTGCTGATCTCTGACTATGTCAAGCAACTTTACAACATTGGGACCACCACATAGATTTTGGAGTATCTGGATCTCCCTCTTGATCTGCACATGTGAAACAATTAAATATAGTAAAGAAGAAAGTAGAAAAATTGATTGAGATGACAAGCTAATTAGAAAATGAAGGGAAAATTCGCAGAAACAGCATATATATGTGAAGCAGGAGCACCATTTTCAGATGAAGACATTTCTATTCTGTATCCATATGCACTTGAAACATTTTCATGAGTAAGATACATGGGCAAACATAGCCACTTCAATGGAAATTCCTCATGTTCAAGTCTTGCAAACAAAAAGATGGGACACCTTTTTACCAGGAAGAACCAAGAAAACTCATTTACTGGACCTTTTTCACTTTGCTGAAAGGCTAGGTTTATCAGACCAGATAAATACTGAAACATCACAAAGTTAAATTACATTCTGAGCACAGATCGGTAGTCCCTAATACATTCGAATCTGTACAAACAAGTTCATACCATGATTGTGCTCCCTCTATCCCATATGTGCGCGCGCACGTGTATACACATGTGGCTGTAGTTATTGCAATTAACATTACTTATTCCAACTTGGCATCCATCAGGTTACAAGAATTACCTTTTTCTTTTTCACCGGTTTAAGGATTTTGATGATGCATCTTTCATTGTTTGTAACATTTATACCTTCAAAAACCTCACTGTATTTTCCCCTTCCTACTTTCCGGACAACCTCGTAGTCATCTTGGTCACTGGAAACAAAACAAACAAAAAAGAAAACAAAGACATCATACCTTAAGAAACATGCTTACACAACGTTTAAACGAAAGAAACGTTTCTTAAATTGGAGAGAATGACAGAAAATTTTCTTTCATTTGTTCATTTTCTCCATCATCCAGCTTTAACTTCTATTCAATTTTTCCTCTTCTGGTGGCATAGAGGGTGAGAATACATATGAAGCACAGAAGCAAATTGGCACACGAGTCAAAAACTAGATTCCTGTTAGGTTCTCGGCAACAATTTTCACAACGCCTGCATTCAATTATCCTCCCTCCCATCCTCTTGTAAAAATAAAACTGTTTTCTTCCTCCCTAGAATGTACAAAGTATTGATACAAGCGACGAACATGAGGCCTGGCCAGTCTATACATGACCACCAATATAAGTCCCCTAATTTCTAAGAACGCAAATGCAACAATCTCAAAACAGACCATATGATGACGACAACGGACTCTTACCACAGCCACCATACATAGTTTACCCTATCATCTTAAAAATAAGTTCTATAGCACAAAACTCCAAGGTATTTCTATAGTCAAATACAGATTGCATAAAAGATCCCCTACAGACCTAATCCAAGTGTATTGAACCCAAGGATTGAGTGCAATCTACAGACCTAATCCAAGTGTATTGAACCCAAGGATTGAGTGCAATCTGAAATTTAAGTCGACACTCCGACAAAAATATGAGCAAGAATGGGATATTTCTAAAAAGGTTTTTCTTCAATAAATTTCAGACACAGTATACACTCAAAATTAGGCGCAGGTATGCATAATTTGAACAGTAATGTAGCCAATAACTGAACTCCGCAACAAAAATCTAATCATACCTGGTTACATAATTGTTCCACCAATTTCATAAAAGTTGGATTATTTGCGGATAAAATGTGGTTACAAAATAAGTTAAACATTGAAAAGTTAACTACAAAAAGTTAGCCAATTATTCCGCCAAGTTAATCCAAAAAACAGTTATATAAAACCTAGATATCCACTAATACGATATGAAATACACAAGTAAAAGAAGAAATAGGCTAATTAGAGCTAACTATCTAGATTAAGCGGGATTTACCCCCACTGGACGGTGAGAGCTTCGTAGTTCCAATAATCTTGAGGACGGTGGACATTGATGTCTGCGTATACTCGAGCTCGAGACATGGCTCTGACGAAATTTGGAATTTCAAGCTAGGATTGAAGCTCCGACGATTGAATCCGACGAAATTTCACCTGATCTTTTCTCTGTTTCCGCTGTCCATCGTCATTCGTCAGCTATGAGCCTATGACATATTGGATGGGTCCTCATGGTTTTGGGTTAAAACGAGAAGGAGACCGAACCCTTTCGGCCAATTCAGCTTGAGGCACTTATATCAAGCCTGTTGGGGAATTTCTGAGTCGGGTCGGCTTCAAACTGGAGTTCAAATTAAAAATTACTCTACCCGGACCATGTATTATAAAATAAATTTCATAAAAACTCCCGACGACGTGTAGGTGCACTTCTCGAAATAAACATAAAAATAAGTTTAGACACGGGATTGAGCTAGATATTTCATATTAATAAGTATAAAATTTCTTTTAAATTGAATATACACTTGAGATTGTATTCGAGCTTTATTTATAAGTTTTTTTTTAACTCGAAGTTATTAAATTATTTAAATTACTTGAACTTGATATCATTTTTTTTCTCGAAAACGATAGATGATATTTCATAAATAATTGAAATGTACAATATTTGAGCAACGGCTCAAGCAGCTTTACAAAGTGTATCATGACATTTAAGGTGAGCCAAAAAATCTCTCCCCATCCATAAGTATGTTTAGAGCATAATGGCTAATTTGATTACATAGAGTCATATTACTATCATTCCTAACTTCAAAAGAGCACATTTGAAACAGATTAGCTAAAACATGTATGTCTTCGATCATCAACGTGGCAGTGTTTGGATTGTCTCCTTTCCCATCTCTTAGCAAGGCAATAAGTTGCTTGTTAGCATTGGTGACTTTGATTCTTTGCCAACTTTGTTGTCTTGCTTTCATTAGTGCCAACCTTACTGCTACAGCTTCATCTTGAATATCCCTTTGCGAGCTTCTATCCACTAAAGTCCATTCAGCTCTGATCCTCCCTCCAGATTGCTTGGCGACTATGCCAATTCCCAGTTTATGGCCCACTGCTGATTTCTTGGTGAAGTTCCATCAGCTCTCGTTATCATGCTAAATATAATTTTCATTATTTGAAACTTACATATCTAAATTAGATAAAGAATGTCCGTATCCAATTTCGAGTCCTGTCTAACCCGATCTCAATTATACATGGTGCTTGTTTTCTTAAGCAATAAAATTAAAAGTTAGCGTAATAAACACAAATACTTGAGTTAATTGTAATTTAGATGCTTACTCATTTTGCTCCCGCAATAATCTTATCGCTTTAGCTGTTGGCAAAAGAGATTATTACTTTCATTTTCCTTCTTTGGACTTTTCTAGGGAGAAATTTTGGTCTTTCTAATTCTCTATTTTGGTCAGAAATCATTTGGGCCTATTTGGTCCAAGGTTTTAAACAAAACCTACACACACACACTATTGAAAACTGTGACAAGAGAGCTCTGAGATCTCTGAAGACATTGATTTAAACAACTGTAATATCGCATATAACAGTCAGCTGCTACAACCCCTTTTCGGATAATCCCAACTCATTTGTCATTAGCATCACTCCGATCCATATGCACTTGAAACATTTTCATGAGTAAGATACATGGGCAAACATAGCCACTTCAATGGAAATTCCTCATGTTCAAGTCTTGCAAACAAAAAGATGGGACACCTTTTTACCAGGAAGAACCAAGAAAACTCATTTACTGGACCTTTTTCACTTTGCTGAAAGGCTAGGTTTATCAGACCAGATAAATACTGAAACATCACAAAGTTAAATTACATTCTGAGCACAGATCGGTAGTCCCTAATACATTCGAATCTGTACAAACAAGTTCATACCATGATTGTGCTCCCTCTATCCCATATGTGCGCGCGCACGTGTATACACATGTGGCTGTAGTTATTGCAATTAACATTACTTATTCCAACTTGGCATCCATCAGGTTACAAGAATTACCTTTTTCTTTTTCACCGGTTTAAGGATTTTGATGATGCATCTTTCATTGTTTGTAACATTTATACCTTCAAAAACCTCACTGTATTTTCCCCTTCCTACTTTCCGGACAACCTCGTAGTCATCTTGGTCACTGGAAACAAAACAAACAAAAAAGAAAACAAAGACATCATACCTTAAGAAACATGCTTACACAACGTTTAAACGAAAGAAACGTTTCTTAAATTGGAGAGAATGACAGAAAATTTTCTTTCATTTGTTCATTTTCTCCATCATCCAGCTTTAACTTCTATTCAATTTTTCCTCTTCTGGTGGCATAGAGGGTGAGAATACATATGAAGCACAGAAGCAAATTGGCACACGAGTCAAAAACTAGATTCCTGTTAGGTTCTCGGCAACAATTTTCACAACGCCTGCATTCAATTATCCTCCCTCCCATCCTCTTGAAAAATAAAACTGTTTCTTCCTCCCTAGAATGTACAAAGTATTGATACAAGCGACGAACATGAGGCCTGGCCAGTCTATACATGACCACCAATATAAGTCCCCTAATTTCTAAGAACGCAAATGCAACAATCTCAAAACAGACCATATGATGACGACAACGGACTCTTACCACAGCCACCATACATAGTTTACCCTATCATCTTAAAAATAAGTTCTATAGCACAAAACTCCAAGGTATTTCTATAGTCAAATACAGATTGCATAAAAGATCCCCTACAGACCTAATCCAAGTGTATTGAACCCAAGGATTGAGTGCAATCTGAAATTTAAGTCGACACTCCGACAAAAATATGAGCAAGAATGGGATATTTCTAAAAAGGTTTTTCTTCAATAAATTTCAGACACAGTATACACTCAAAATTAGGCGCAGGTATGCATAATTTGAACAGTAATGTAGCCAATAACTGAACTCCGCAACAAAAATCTAATCATACCTGGTTACATAATTGTTCCACCAATTTCATAAAAGTTGGATTATTTGCGGATAAAATGTGGTTACAAAATAAGTTAAACATTGAAAAGTTAACTACAAAAAGTTAGCCAATTATTCCGCCAAGTTAATCCAAAAAACAGTTATATAAAACCTAGATATCCACTAATACGATATGAAATACACAAGTAAAAGAAGAAATAGGCTAATTAGAGCTAACTATCTAGATTAAGCGGATTTACCCCCACTGGACGGTGAGAGCTTCGTAGTTCCAATAATCTTGAGGACGGTGGACATTGATGTCTGCGTATACTCGAGCTCGAGACATGGCTCTGACGAAATTTGGAATTTCAAGCTAGGATTGAAGCTCCGACGATTGAATCCGACGAAATTTCACCTGATCTTTTCTCTTTCCGCTGTCCATCGTCATTCGTCAGCTATGAGCCTATGACATATTGGATGGGTCCTCATGGTTTTGGGTTAAAACGAGAAGGAGACCGAACCCTTTCGGCCAATTCAGCTTGAGGCACTTATATCAAGCCTGTTGGGGAATTTCTGAGTCGGGTCGGCTTCAAACTGGAGTTCAAATTAAAAATTACTCTACCCGGACCATGTATTATAAAATAAATTTCATAAAAACTCCCGACGACGTGTAGGTGCACTTCTCGAAATAAACATAAAAATAAGTTTAGACACGGGATTGAGCTAGATATTTCATATTAATAAGTATAAAATTTCTTTTAAATTGAATATACACTTGAGATTGTATTCGAGCTTTATTTATAAGTTTTTTTTTAACTCGAAGTTATTAAATTATTTAAATTACTTGAACTTGATATCATTTTTTTTCTCGAAAACGATAGATGATATTTCATAAATAATTGAAATGTACAATATTTGAGCAACGGCTCAAGCAGCTTTACAAAGTGTATCATGACATTTAAGGTGAGCCAAAAAATCTCTCCCCATCCATAAGTATGTTTAGAGCATAATGGCTAATTTGATTACATAGAGTCATATTACTATCATTCCTAACTTCAAAAGAGCACATTTGAAACAGATTAGCTAAAACATGTATGTCTTCGATCATCAACGTGGCAGTGTTTGGATTGTCTCCTTTCCCATCTCTTAGCAAGGCAATAAGTTGCTTGTTAGCATTGGTGACTTTGATTCTTTGCCAACTTTGTTGTCTTGCTTTCATTAGTGCCAACCTTACTGCTACAGCTTCATCTTGAATATCCCTTTGCGAGCTTCTATCCACTAAAGTCCATTCAGCTCTGATCCTCCCTCCAGATTGCTTGGCGACTATGCCAATTCCCAGTTTATGCCCACTGCTGATTTCTTGGTGAAGTTCCATCAGCTCTCGTTATCATGCTAAATATAATTTTCATTATTTGAAACTTACATATCTAAATTAGATAAAGAATGTCCGTATCCAATTTCGAGTCCTGTCTAACCCGATCTCAATTATACATGGTGCTTGTTTTCTTAAGCAATAAAATTAAAAGTTAGCGTAATAAACACAAATACTTGAGTTAATTGTAATTTAGATGCTTACTCATTTTGCTCCGCATATATCTTATCGCTTTAGCTGTTGGCAAAAGAGATTATTACTTTCATTTTCCTTCTTTGGACTTTTCTAGGGAGAAATTTTGGTCTTTCTAATTCTCTATTTTGGTCAGAAATCATTTGGGCCTATTTGGTCCGGTTTTAAACAAAACCTACACACACACACACTATTGAAAACTGTGACAAGAGAGCTCTGAGATCTCTGAAGACATTGATTTAAACAACTGTAATATCGCATATAACAGTCAGCTGCTACAACCCCTTTTCGGATAATCCCAACTCATTTGTCATTAGCATCACTCCGGACTCTCTCATACAATCGGTACATAAGCGTTGATTTTGACATCTGAGGCTCCCTTTCTAGAACAGCAATCACATCCTTGACTGAAATAGTGCGAGCCACCTTGGGTTGTGCCACTACAACTTGATTTCTTCCTACTTTTCTAACTGCACCTGCAGAGAAAAGCAAGTTTAACCAAAAAAAAAAAAGGATCCCACAACAAAGCAGACTGTGCCACATGAACAATGCACGATTAGATTATGCTAGGACTCCAATAAAATGTCAGCCAACATTATGTAATATCACCAATAGCTGGGTATAACAGTTGGAAAGAAAATCTTGTCGAACATTTCAAAGCAGCAGTGAGCCGTTTAAACACAAGCATTTTGCAGTAATGCAGCCATAGGCATGTTTTCATAGACAATAAATATACCAGTAACAGGAAGAAAGCCAATTCTGTACCATCAAGCAATCACCATCGCAAAAGTATGAAGACTAGTAACACAAAACACTATGATGCTCAAAATTGTTGGGACATATCAGCACTAACTGATACATTTGAGCTCATACTAGAGTATATAACAGTGAACACTTGCTGAGCATCCGGGGGATTGGTTATTGGGGGTAGGGCGGGGAAGGGGGAAGACGTATTAAAATGTCAACTCTTTTACATAAACTTTTCACAGTGCTTAACTCAACAGGCCCTGTTACCAGGATTTTGCCCAGAAAAACAAAGGAAAAGAAGCTGCTCACTAGCAACTTACCTAGCACTTTATCTGATAGTAGAAGTTTTTGTTACATTTCAGAATGCACTGCATTAAGTGGTTGAGTTATTAAAATATCATACACATCATATGCTTCCGTCAGTTCCTTCCTTTCGAATATCTACATTACTGATACCATCAATTGACAACAAACCATAGTGCTAGTGTTACAAAATAGCAACTGTTAAAACCCAATTAGCAAAGTTTTATCCACTACCATGCTTGCACAATTTCATTCATATCTGATAATCTTGAACAGCAACAGCAACATGCCACTAATATAGCAAGCTCAGACATATCCAAGATCAGCTCTATACTAAGCAAGGTTAAGAAGAAAGCTGTTCACAGCTTAAACATGCAGCAAAGACTTTTGAGGCTCAGTAGATCTTCATATCATCCTTGAAAATGCTCTGAAAGCGAAAAGAAAATGTAAATATACCAGGAGTGGAATTAGCAGCAGATTGGCCCCTTTTCTCCACTTCTTGATTGTCCCTTGAACTTCTTCCTGATGACGGCTTTCTGCCTGTATCTTTTCCAGGCTGTGAACCAGATGCTGCATCAATTCCTCCTTCACGTTTCTGCCTGGCTTGCTCAGCCATCAGTTGCCACTTTGACAGCATGTCGTCTCCTCCAACAGCAGCTCGGGCAGCAACATTTGCAGCGTTGTCCTCATCTTGTCATCTTCTTCCTTGTTTGCCTGCAAGTGTACAGAGTTTGTATAGTCTCTGGCATAAAGCATTGAGTAGACGATAGCTAGAGATGAATAAGCCTAGGTACCTTTACCGGTTTTACACGACCTTCATCCTTCTCCTTCTCACCATCAACCCCAGGATTACTCTCAGGCTGCGATACAGACATATCAAAAGTAACAACGCTTTTGAACTGTCAAAAAGCATAGAATAGTCAACTGATGGCAAAGACAAGAATTACTCACTTCATTCAGCTTTTGTTGTTTCTCTACTTCAGCTTGTTTCTTCTCCCATTCTTCCCGAGCTTTTCGGTTAATCAACATGATTTGTTGGTGAACATCTGAGGTCACAACAGTTTTGTGCCTAGACTTCTCTATATCCAAGCGCTATGAAAAATGCATCAAAGTCCATCAAAGGGTTTAGACGACTAGATTCCTTTTTCATTCAAACAATTCTTCACTGCTTTAAGAGCAATGAAAATAGCTAAAAGTAAAACTCACCTGCTTTGACAGTCTGATAAGATTACCTACCAGCCCACGCATTCTTTCTTCCACACACTGAAAGAAAAACAGCAGAACAATAAAAGAAAATGCAACATAAAATTTAGAAGAAGGGGAAATACCTATACAATTTAGAATAAGGGGAAATAACTATCTTAAAATCTCACCAGAGACAAGCACCGCTCAACATCATTGCTGATACCCTTTAAACCACATTTTGCCACTGCCACAGATAGCCAAAAGATAAACCCAGATCAATCCTTTTAATTCTAATAACAGAGTTGTACAACAACAAATTCATCTACCAAAAGCAAGAACAGGTTGTCAATAGAGTGAAGGATTTACAAATCTCTGCTAATTTCCGCTTAAGAGGGATTTTTTCCAAAATCAGCCGATCTTCTTCTTCTTGCACAACACGTCGAGATGCTTCTGAAACACGACTATCTTCCTTGGACCAGAAAATAGTTGTTCTTCCTCTTCCTGTTTCATGCATTGAATTATCATGATACTGAGTTGAATACAATGCAGTGCAAATTGCCTGTCCTACATGCGTGAAACTGAATACATAGGGTTCTTGTCTTTCTCTTTTCTATCTTGTTTCTAGCAAAGGGATATGGGTCAGTACCCTGAGATTAACACCGCTGACAGCAGTCACATCATTGAGTTGTTCAATGCTTTGATCCAGAAAGGCACCAGATACTTTTTGCTTCTTACTGGAAGATGTGCCACAAATGTATGTAAGCAATCGTTATACATAAATACCAACATTAAGAAGGAAAAAGACAATTTGCCTCAGTAATTAAAAAATTCTCAAGTAATCATGTGTCCTAATCAGTCACATGACTCGTGTCAACCTTGATGGAGGTGGTGAGGAACCAAGGGCCTCCTGTGGCTTTTTTTGGCCGATCGAAGGTTTTTTAGCGGGAGCCTTTGAACTGGTTCCAATCCCCATGCTGGCAGAGGTAGAAGAATGCATCCTGGAATTTAACTGGTAAAAGGGGTAGGGGAAACCAAAAAAGGACAAGATGTAAATAAATCATGCTGAGATCGACAAGATTCTGAGCTGGGCACCGACATAGGAAAGAAACTTTTACAGCTGGGAAGCAAAAGAGTTACATTTTCACTTTAGAAAATTTGTACTTTTGGAAAACCCAGAAGAGAGATCATAGTTAAATCAGAGGCAAAAGCTAAAATACAATAACATAAAAGAATCACTTGACGAACAACAAGATTGTTAGTAAAGTCTGATGATAGCCCACATCCTCAGATAATATTACGTATGACAAGTTTAGAGAAAAGTCCTCCACGCTCCCCACCAGAAAATTAAGGGAATCCACCGTGAACTGTTCTGCAAACAGTAACACGTGGAAACAGGTGTCAAAGAAGGGGAATTTAAGCGCATCAGGGAAGGAAGAACCATGAAGATATTAATCAATGGAACTCATTCCTTTATTAACCAGAGTTGTTAATAAACTAACTACAAGGATACTCATAAGCTAAAAAAATTCTCCTAAAGCTGAATGCTACTTGATCAGGACTTCGACTCCTACCTGACAATCCTGCTATCATTCAGATTTTAATTACTTTCCCAAAATTTTTATTGTGATTATGGTTTTGTTTCCTACTTAAAAGTCCTATTATCATTATACTTTTGATTCCTAGTTGAAACACATAAATCTAGAAATCTTAACAATTAAGACTTCAATTAAGATCCTAATACATTTAAGGCCTGATATGAACTCAAGAAACATAATTACAGCAAAGTCAAAGCCAAAAAAAGGAAAAGACCAAAATACACTTGACTCCCAAACTTCAGATAAAGCATTCATAAGAAGTCCAGAAGCAGATTACCAATGGTTCGACCAAAACAGCAGTCTGACAAAGTTGCCAGATGTTGATCAAGCCATCTTACGGACTTTTGAATTACCATGAGTAACTCTGGACCACAAAAAGTTCTTGCTTGCAAGTAATACCAAAAGCTTTTGTCTTAAGCTTCCAAAGGCATAATTTCTATTCAACTGCCTTATACTGCATCATAATATGCTAAAAGCTAAATCACCATACTACCCCAATTCACAGCAATTTGGTACAAAAATAAGCAAATTTTACTAGACACAGGAGTGGACTCCGAACCAAAAAAAGTACCAAATCTTATTTATGAGTTTCACACCGATGATGCAAACCAAGAATGCCTATCCCATAACTTGTGAAAACATAAAAATGGAATTGAAAGATGCTAATTGAAATCTAGATGAATTTGGGAAGTTCTCTTCAATTTCGAAATGTAGAGTATTGATATGCTAAAACCAGTGGCCATGTAAGACAAATACAAATAGAGATAAAATTAGGAAAGGCAAAGACAGATGCTAGAATCCAAATTCTTAACAGAATCACTACCACTACCAGCAAAAGTAGAACAAGCTAGCAGCCACAAAGATCAGAACAAAAAATACCGTATTATTAGGTTCCATCTGACTGGGCATTGATGACAACATGGGATTTGTTGGCACCGTGCTTGTGGGTGCCGAGAACCCCAATCTGGAGGACTGCATTTCAAAAGTTTCATCCTTTAAAGTTCCAGGAAGAGTGTTTCCTTGTTCAACATTTGTGGAAGGGAAGGATGACAACCCCTGTGTAGCTGAAAACTGGGATTTGTATTGTTCATTTGACTGATCAAGCGGTTCTGGTTTAACAAAGGTGGTAGAAGATGGAATCCCACTTTTCTGCTCTTTAGCAGATAATGATTGCCACTGAACTGAATTCTGGGGCAGCACTGGACTGTTGGTGGCGGGTGTGAGACTTCCACTTTGCAATCTTTTAGGGTCATTGAAAGAATTCTGCCCATCAAACTTCGTCACACTCACCATATTCATGCCCTGGGTTGTTGTTCCCAATTGAGTTGCATTCATGGTTTGATGAGCTGGAATAGGTCTCATTTGGGAGTCGTGGGGTAGTTGTTTGAGAGGTGTTGAAGTATTTGTATTCATTGTCGAATACGGGCGATGAATGCTCCCAGTATTCCCATATGTCGGAAAAGACGGATGTGAGAAGAGCATATGCTGTGAATGCTGCTTATTGATTCCTTGTGGTGGAAAAGCAGAGCGTTCCTTATCTTGATTAGCAGCCAAACTAGCAGTAGACATTTGGCTTAATGGGACTCCATGTGAATCTGGCAGTCGTTCAACCTCTCGTGGTTTCTGAGCATTGCTATCAGATACCTTATTGGTCGAGTCTGTTGTCATGGCGACTGCAGAAATGAAAAGAAGTCTAGTCAGTGGAAGAGATCTTGCACTTCTAATTGAATTGTGCTAATGCTTGAGATTAAGAGAATATTTTGGCACCAGTAGATGAGGTTGGCAAATTTTGCTGCTGAGTTGAAACCTGTGACTGTGATGGAACTTGACTTGGCACATTCTGTGTGTTTCGAGCAGCCTGATTTTCAAATTAGAAATTTAGCATAAATTAAACTAAACTGGGATTTTTTTTCTTCCATACAAGCGTTGGAGGAGGCAGGAAGTCATGGAAATTTATGTCTACTTAGTTACTTACTTGAGACTGCAATTTATAAACAGCCATCTTCAGCATCTGGTCTCCGACAATACTTCTCATGTGCCGGACAAAACCATCCTTAGAGATTTCATTTTTCTGAAAACAGAAACTCAACCTAAGGATGAAAATGCAAAGGATTTTAATTGATGCTAAAAATGCAACATTTCAGAAAGGAACCGGACTCAGCAACTCACCCTTAATTTAAGGTAAAGAGTGTTTAGTTGCATTGCTCTATCCTTATCAAGTTGGGGCTGTATGACAGGTAGCAACAGAGCAAAAGGCACTTGTTTCCCACGATTCAATGCGTTGCTGGCCTGTGTGATTACTTGTTCCTGGAGCCTTGGGCTGTTGATTGGTCATTGTTGACACCACAGCCTGTTGATTACTCATTGCTGAAAATGATGCCTGCTGATTATTTGCCTTCTGCAAGTTTACAAGCTGAGCATTCATGATCTGGATTTTGTGTTCTCTCAGGCCCAGTGTTATGGACAACATTAGTATAAGCATCCTGCATATTAATTTCCTGAGAAATAGGAACCATCTTTTGCTCAGCTTGCGGAGGATGCAAATTGTCCTGGATGGTTTATTTTGGACGGAAAAGATGTTCACCTCCTCATGGTGTTATCTTGTTGTTTCTGATTCTCGTGGACCAATCCAGGTTGTTTCACATCCATTTCCGCTGATAATGGCTCACTTTTCTGTGAACCAAGAGGATCTTGCTGACTTAGAGAATTAGCATTGTCATCGTGATTCGAAGTTTGCCACTGGGGAAGAAACTGACTGGAAGCATGACTACTTCCTTGAGACAATGCATCTAGTATTCCAGTTAAATACATCAGTACTTATGCACTTTTAAAGACAAATTTCAAGCCAACCTCAGATGCAGATTTCTATAGTAAGAAGCAACAAACAGAATGTGTATGGTGTTCGACATGAGTTGATTCCATGATTCTTATATACCACTCAGAATAAGAACTTAAACCAAATCTGCAATAACTCCAATGTAGAAAAGATTCAACACATGCATGCATTCATCTATAAAATGAGGACACATTTGAAAAATGTTGCTGTATGCCCATGCACCGCAAGAGGGTTTGTTTGGATATCGCATTTTTTCCCCAAAAAAAATGATTGCATCACAAATACATATTTCAATCACCTTTTATATCTTCCCAACCACTTTTTTATGTCGCATATATCACATCACAAAAAAAAAAAATGCTACAGTCTCATTCCAAAAACTTTTTCCATGCAGTCCCGTAACCAAAAGCACAATATTCTTTTAGATGCTAAAGGAGAATATCACAAAATGGTTATTTACAGGACCCAAATCCTCAAATTCGGGGCATGAGAATTTCATTATTTTCAGTTAATCCTGCTCATAATTTTCTCATCTGAAACCAATCTCATGCTTCCACATTTTCCTTTATCAATTAAGCTACGCAAGAATCTATAAACCCATGGAAATCAATTTTCTCCGGAACTGAGCTCGTGCTGTTTAGATGACATTGCCATAAGACAGAAAAAATCAATTTATTACCCAACCTAAACGGGAAAAGAAACGAAATAACCGAAAAAATTCTGGCAAATATTAGGGAAGATAGAGAAAATTCATACTACTATCTGAATCAGAGGGCTGAGATGTGGAAATATCCCCTTCGATATCTCTATTCAGGCAGCTGTGAAGGCCTCCACGTCGGCCCCAGAATGCATCGTCTCATCCTGCAAAACAATAAATTCAATCGTGAAAATTAAAATATTTCGAGGCTTTAACCTGAATAACTAGCTTAACGTGCTTCCATGGTCGTGAACCTCATCTTCTTCCAGGAGTTTCATGATTGAAGGGTCCATTGGAATCAAAATTTAATTGCTTCGCCGTATTGAATATTATTGCAGGTGCTGAACTTCGAACAATGGACGATATTTGCTTAAATAGCCATAGAAGGAAAGGACTGAAAATCTTCAATTTTCTGGTTTGAAGTTCCGGAGAAATTTGCAAGGAAAGAAGCACTACTGTCAAGTAACTCGCTTTATCAGCCCGGATGGCTGGATCCTCTTCTCAGGTGTACCGGTATTTATAGGGCCCAAAAAAAAGAAGAAGTAGTAATAATAATACTGTTAAATACAAAAAAAAAACCCTATAGTTTGACATATGTAGCATTTAGTTCCCTGCAGTTTTTTTTGAAGGTAGTTTTGAAATCTACAATTTACCTTCTTTATGTTTGTAATTAAAGTGAAAATTGTTAAGATTTTCTGTTAAATTTAATGGTGAAACTTGAATAGTCAAACTCTCCAATAAATTTATTATCCAAATTATAAATTCATCCTTCAATTTAAGATTAACATAATATTCTAAAAAATATGATTGCAAGTTATACTTTTAAACAATTTTGAGACAAAAAATAATTTTTAACCGCTATGATATAAAAGCTTATACTCTATGCTATTGCCTTTTTAAAAAAAAAAGAAGATTATAAATAGCCCACAACAATGAATTAATACAGACTAGTAAGGACACACCTACCATAACTAATAACTTACATATAATGGGATGAATACTAACATCTAAATAAGAATGAATTTATATTTACATTTGGTCAAGCAGTACCATTGCTTGTTTACCATCTTATTATATAGGCCTTGTTTGGCAAATAAGTTTTTTGGATGTTTGTTTAAAACTTTAATGTATTTTACTGTAGAAGTTTTTAAACAAATTTTTGAGTATTTTGAAGTATATAGTTTAAAAATTTTGAAAAGTTTTTTAAGGTTATTATAGTTAAAGTTTTTAAAAAACTTATAGCAGACAAACTTGGTAAAAAACTCAAGTGCATAGTTCGATGAAGTAGCAAAATGCTAGGATTTGAGCTTTGTTTAAAATTGTTTTTAGCTGGACAAAAAAAAAAAAGGAAGAAGAGAATTCTCGTGCAAAATGCCTTTTATGATGTCCAATAAATAGTAATACACTACTTAGATTTGTTATCTTCGACGGTGAGGCCAAATAATTGCAAAACAACCAATGGACCAACATAATATTTTTTCATACCTAAGTTGGGCTAGATATCATGCTATAATGTATAAAACTGCAAAGTTTAGTTGAAATTATTGGGCTTATGTTGTAGAAAGAGATTTGGGCCCAAAAGATTAATTGACATAAGCTACACCATCCTACATATTTGGGCACAAAAGGTTCTCGTACAGTACAACACCGTAGCGTGCTGCTAGCTCCTTTCCCGCCACGCATCACGCAACTTTTTCCCCATCCATCCATCCGCGACTTGCCACGAGTTCCCCTCGGAGTCCACCATATAAATAAGCTCGGCTCTCGGTACAATTTCTCCCTCTTCCCGAAATAATAAGGGTGTCTCTGTAAATCCATAACCAATCTCAGAAGAAACATCAAACATTCAAGAATTCAAGATGAGATTAGCTAATTCTGTAGTAAATCATTTTACCAAACGAACCTTTATCCAACACTCTCAACAACAGCGACAACGACAGCGTCGTAGCTTTTCTAAATTTCTGCCAGCCAAAAAAATCCCACAATGCCGAAGCACACCACAACCAAGTACTACCATTAGGGTTCCTTCTCAAACCCCTTGTCGAAATTCAGTGATATTTTTTTCGTTCCTTCACAAGTCATACTATTCATCATCATCTTCATCGGGGAATCGAAAGATGGGTTTTCTTTCTTGGTATTTGTCAATGCTGGATTCGCGGCCCATTCTTACAAAGAGCATATCTTGTTCTCTGATCTATGCAGCTGCTGACATTACTTCACAGGTACTTGGAATTTTAATGTACTAATCAACTAGGGTGACTAGTTGAGTATGCAGGGCATGTTTTAATGTATCGGTATGAAACGTGCACAACATTAATATCGTTTTAGATTTGCTCAATTTTTTTTTGCTGAAGTTAGGTTTTCTTTGAATTTTCTAGGCTAATAGCAAGTCATTTGTCCCGCACATCTTTATTGTGAAACTAATTTAACAAATGTTAAAGAAAGAACTTTTATTCTCAATGAAAATCCTTGCTTATAAAAAAAAAATCACAAATTTTAAAATTTTACAGCTGAGCCAGCAAATTGTCCCAAACAGTACAGACTATGATCGTTGAGGCTTTGCAGACATATACCCCTTATTGTGTAGATAAAGTTGAGCAAAGTGTCTATGGTTGATGGGTTGCTGTTCTTTCTTCCTTTAACTGCCAGATGATTACAATGCCACCTTCAGGTTCACTGGATTTAGTAAGGACATCAAGGATGGCTGGGTATGGGCTGGTTATACTTGGTCCTGCACAGCATATATGGTTTAACTTTATAGCATGGTGTCTTCCCAAACGGGATCTCATCACGACACTGAAGAAGCTCGTAATCGGCCAGCTTGTCTTTGGACCTTTCGTTACTTCTGTTTTCTATTCATTTAATGCAGCCTTGCAAGGTACTGGTTTATTTCCTTTTTTCTTTGGAAAGTGTTTTTTGGATCTATAATTGCTGTGGATTCAGCATAGTTCATGGTTGGAGCTTGGCACGCTGATTTTTTCCTTCCAAATATGTTGGAAAGTATAAAAATGAAAAAAGTGATGTCTTCTGCAGTTCAAATATTCTTTCTACAATAATTCCGTACCATGCTGCAACTAAACTTCTATATGTGGCAATTTAAGTGTTTTCACTGATTAATTGTGATTTTGCATTAGGTGGTTATGCATTCTGTGTTTTACGCTAATCCTAGCTTTTTGCTTCAGCATAAACAAGTCTTCTTTTGTTTCATTTTGATTGAAATTGTTGAGTAATTGGTAATCGTATCACGTTTAGGTGAAACTGCGAGTGAGATTACTGCCAGATTGAAGCGAGACGTGCTCCCAACATTGTTGAATGGCCTTATGTTCTGGCCATTATGTGATTTCTTCACATACAAAATTATTCCAGTCCATTTACAGGTTCTGCTCTTTCTTAATCTGGACATGTTTGGGATGGAAGATTTAGTTCCTTTGTTTATGTAGCTTGGATGCTGGATAGATTTCTCATCCTAGTTTTTTAATATCTGAAATGGTGATGGTTTATCATTTGTATATTTGCTGCAGCCATTGATGAACAGCTCCTTTTCATACATCTGGACTATATATTTGACCTACATGGCAAGCTTGCAGAGGGCAGTTGCTAATTAGTTCTCCCCCTTTTGCTTTAGCTGGCTGTATTCCATGAGCGGAAGAACAACTGTAACTCATTTGATAGATCACCCTTCATGTTTGAAAGATCAGCATACATCAAATTACAATTCCATAGGCTGCAGGCAAGTATGCAATAGAACTGAGGATCTAGGGGGCTTGTGAATGTGTCTCTAGATATTTCCCTACTATTTTGACTTTGACTTTTTATTTTCTTGTTTTCCTTTTCTGGTTTAGTAACTTCTACGCAATGGTTTTATCTGCACTTTTTTTTTGTTCTCAGATGTTTGGAAATATATTACCTTTTTGTCATACCCGCGGGAAAGAAGTTCCTATAGGCGTTCTTTATCTGTCTGCCTCAGAAATTTTTTTTTTGAGCGCGTCTGCCTCAGAATCAATTAATTTTCTATTTCTTGACATGCTTAGTTAATTTTTTTGATAAATCTACTTATCTGCTGACGCATCTCCTCAATAGCCAGGAGCTGGAGAACAGATTTCCTTTTATTCTGTTGGTCTTTTGGGGTACCAACTACTTGAAAGATATTAATTCAAATTTTGGTGGAAGAAATGGAAAACGAGATCATTAAGATGATCCATTTAGGCAACCCTTAAAGTTTGAAGGGATGGTCAATTAGAAATGTACATGGCAAGTCTACCAATTGCAGTTGTGGTTCCATTCAGCAGTGATGTCTCATGTCCATTTTTCGTTCATAGTTTCCCAAGTTGATGGAAAGAGCAAAAAACACAGAGTGCGCTGTCTCCAGCACAATTTCTTCTATCTTTGCAGATTTGCTTCTAGTTCCACATAATGTCATAGTTTTGGGAATCAATGGTGGTGTACTTCATCTATAATAGTGTTTCAGGAAGCTGTGTTTCAGCTGGATTACTGGTGATGATCCTTTCAAGTTCGAGTCTTGGTTTTAGTATGTGACATTATATCCAACCCTTGCTTTTGCTAGCCAGCAAATGCTGCATAATCAGAGATATGAAACATTTCCTGGCTGTAATCGGAAACCAGGTGGATTCAATTAGAAAATATATACTCATCACAGAATTTGTTATGGAAAATTTTGCTCTTCGTGTCCCTTCCTTCCTTTTTTTTTTATTTTTTAATTATCTTATGGTTAGTGGAAGGGTTCGAATCCAATATCTCTCACTTACACTCTCCTTCTCCGAACCACCCAACCCCTCGCCCGGTTGTTTGTGTCCTTATTGAAAGGTTCTGTAGCACCTTTCATAGTGTCATTATTATCTTTATCAAGCGGATGATTTGTAAACTTCTGAGGATTATAGTAAAGTAACAACAAAAGCATTGGAAAATTCTTGAGGGTAAACTTGTGGGCAAAATTGAGCCGTCCTGCCTTGAGGGTTATAAAACGTCCTCATCATTCATTCCCAATCCTTACTGGGTTAAAATCTACCAAAACTACGTACTACTACAGAAAGTTTGCATCTCTTACTCTGATGAACTCACTGAATTCTTGTATCAAGAACTTAAATTTGAATGTGCTACACAAACGTTACCTGTATTTACAATTTTTTTTTAACCTCTTCTTCTTGTGTTTGACCAGTGAGCTAAGCTACAGAAGATAAAGGGCTGCTGTCAAAAACAATAATTTATAACGTTTACAGAGATTATTACATCTTGTACTAACAAGTGCTCTGGCTAGTTGCCTACAAAATCCCTGTCCCGCTACAAAAGCGTTTTCAGATCTGATGAAAACCATGGAAAGAGACTGTAATTCTTGGGCTTGCCACCCCTTTTCATGCTCGGGATTGTCAATGGTTGTCAAAATGCTGTAGAATTATGACTGGCCTAATCTAATCGTGGTCAAAGATGCCCACTTTGGCAGAATATCCTTTAAATAGCTGAATTAATTTATGAAAGTATCTCAAGTAAAAAAACAAAAAAATCCAAAAGCTAAGGTCCCGTTTGGATTGCATTTTCCGTCATTTTTCATGGAAAAATTACTGTAGCGATTGATGTATGTTGGAAAAAGGTAATGGGGAAATGTGTTCACGGAAAATGACGAAATTTTTCTACGGAAAATAGCAATCCAAGCAAAAGCTAAGTAAGTGATAGCCTTCATATAAAGCTCAGGATAAAATAATATAAGGTAAATTCGTTTGGATTGGTCATTTTTTAAAAAACAAGGGTTCTGTTTGGATCAATTAGTTTTTCAAATATTATAAAAAATTTTAAAAAATACTCTAAAAGGTATTCTAAAAAGTAGTTTAAAATTTTCATATATACTGTTATAGTAAAATTTTTCAAAAACAATTAATCCAAACGAAAGCTACGTGTATATAAGTCTAAAAATCAATAAACACCATTCTGATAATAAACTCTCATGTTTTGCATATGGAAAATTTTAAGTGCATCATTACGGTAGTAATTAACATTATTGATAGAAGGATCTAGAACAAGAATTTTGATATCAGGACATTGATGAATCTTTATGATTGTAAATACGCGAAAGGAATGTGGAATTTTTCTATCTGGACTTTCTGTTTATATCTCGCATGTCTCCTGGGAACCTTAGGAGCTAGGACTGAAGGTTCAAACTGTAGGGGAAAAGATCTTCCGTGAGACCCACACCACAATAGTGAATAATATTCCCACATGGGTAGACCAACCAACGAGAAACTCGGACCAATAAAAAGCGCCCGCGTGGACGACCAAAATATGGTACTGAAACTGATTGACGAAGCGTCGTAATCAACGGGGACTCGCACAACATCGGATTCGGACACAGTCTCCACACGAACTTTTACAAAAGTAGATTCCCGACGCGTGTCACCTCAAACTCCCGCTCTTGCGTCAGCAACATTAAAAACGTCAGTCCCAACGATCTAACGCCCCATTAACGACCACGCCTATATCCAGCTTCCCCTTACCCTCCGGTCCCTCCCTCCGAGAGAGAGTGCGAGAGACAGAGAGGAGATAGATTTCGTTCCGTCAGAGGTTTTTGCCTCCTTTATTTCAGGTACCCAAAAAAGAAAAAGAAGAAAAAGCTTCTTCGTCCTCTTCTTCATGGGTTTTTATTTGTTTTAACAAGTTGTGAGTTATGTATTTATATATATTTTGTTTTATATATAGCAAAAGGTATCTGCGGATTTTGACGGTAACTGAATTTCATGGAGTGGTGGGACAAAATGATCGTTCCTATCAGAAAAGCTTGGGTTAATGTTGCCTCAACATCTTGGTATTCGAAAAACGGGTCAGTTACTTTCCTTCCCCTCCTCCTCCTCTGTCAGCTCTCTTTTTTTTCTTTTTTTTTTTAAGTTTCCCTTTTTATCAAATTTTTTTTTTTTTTGTTGGTCTTCACGTATTGGATTTTTTTTTCATCTTTTTGATCTCGGCATACCTTGTTAGCAGAGTTCTTTCGTCCCATAAAGTTCTAGTTCTGATATTTTGGTGGGATTGTGGTGAATCTTGTATGAGTCATGATGGATATCATAATGAATGGATGATGCTAGTGATCAAAGTAGGTGTATGGTGGAAGAGGGGCCTCAACAAATTAGACTCTGTGATTTTTGAAGGCAATTTGCATCTAATGACAATTTAAAACTTGGCGATTGAGCTCGATTGGTCTACACAATTTCTAGTTCGTTACAAAAATCAATAAAAGGCGTGTTGAGTGTACAATTTGCATAAGAAGGCGTGTTGACTGTTGAGGGGTTGTAAAATTTTTTGAGCGATGATCATGTATTAGAGTTTCCTGATAGGGAAATATGTCTAGTTGACTCGGAGACTGGAAAAGTTAAAAGAAAGGTAAAAAGGATGAAGGAAAGAAACCGAGAATTCTTGTTGTTAGCGTTTACTACGACCATATTGACAAATAGGAAATTAAGAGGGCGGTTTGTTTCTATCCCAGCCAAGGTTAGGAGGAGGTTTTTCCATACGTGGCACATGTCATTTTCTGAATGATGTGAAAGCCTTATGCAGGGTACGTAGCTTGTTTTAGTGTAATATAGGCAGGGAGTCATATCGTTGCAAAAGAACAGAGGTAATAATAGCCTCAACTGAAGGAGGAAAGAAAAAAAAAATAAAACGTAACCTAACTGTCTTGATCAGTTGCTTAAGCAGAGGTTGACATAATGCTTTTCTTGTCCTTTTAAATTCTTTTATTCGGGTTGTTTATACTATGGATGTTGGTAATAGTCAAAGCCCATCATTTTCTTTTTCTTGCTGGTGATCTTTTCTGCATCATGAAGTTGTCACCTAGACTTTGGTCTCCTGTCTCCAAAGCCTTCAGAAGATAGAAACAGGTTTTGAGAAGCTTGATGTCTACGGATTTTGTCGAAAAAAAACTGTTTCATATGTTGTTAAAGATTTACTCTTCCAATCCCGTTTAGAGATTTTTGTGAAAAAACTCAAAATTGTGCAGGGCTTGTTAAGCTTCGCCATGATGTGAGGACTTGTGAGTACGAGGATGTCCACATCTTGTGGGAGTTGCTGAAGAAGAATGACGCACCGCTTCAAACATCTACAGCTGCAGGAAGCACAAAGAGACGATTTTGCAGGGTTGTTGAGTGGGCAAATATTGCTCCAATATTGCTTTGCCACCATGGTGTATAGTCAAATTATTAGCTGTGATTATTCTGTAAGCTCCAAAATGCTTGTGGTAGATAAAACTTTTTGGCACTGTCTTACAACTTTGGAGTTCAGAAGGATTATAAAATGCAAGATGTGTGAGTGCATGGTCGCATGATCGTGCATCAAAACCTCCTCAGGTGGGGGAAGTGGCCTGTCACTCGCACTTGTCTGTGGCAAAATAAATTGGTGTGTGTTTCATTTGATTTCTTGGCTGTGGTTAGTGTGATTTGTGGGATTATGCTCTTTGGCGTCTTATTACTAATAATCTTAACTGCTTGTATGTTGCATACGAACAGTAGCAGTCTAGGAGACTTCCGAGCCTATTTGGTTGTTCTGCTTGATATATATATATCAAGCCAAGAAATTAGTGCAAAAGGGGTCTTCAACTATAGCTTCTGTATCGCGTTGTAAGTTTCTTTTTATCCTTTTTCCAGGTTGTTGGTGAAGGCTACACCTTGTCTGTGTCTTGCATAGCTTCAATTGGTTGCATCCCTCAAAAAGTTCTATTTTTGGATGACAAGACAAAACTCATTTATCAGTCTTATTTAATGTTTGGAGTATACATTAAGTTATTTTTTCAAAATTAAGCTTGTCTGATGGAGAAATTTGTGGACCAAATGATTTTGATTGGTGAATTTACAAAGAGAAAGGTCGAAACATCTCTTAGTTTCTTATTATGAAAGTTGCTGCTCAAATAAGTAATTGTACCATTTTAACTAAATTTGACTAAATCAATTCCTTATATAGAAGCTAGCCTGCTTAATGCCCGGTTCACTGGGCAAAGGGATTCAATCTCCAACTAGGCCGAGTTTAATAACTAAAATAATGGCCACGAGGGATATTGGAGAATTTACAAAGAAAAGTCAAAACTTCTTGTAATTTCTTGTTCTAGTAGGTACCACTGCCCAGCTGAATGGGCAATTTTGCCGCCGTGGCCTTTGGGATCTTTGGAAAGCAAAGGTTTGACTTTGGGCCGTTACCGTGAATTGCTAGTCGTAGCATGATCTCCCACTACGAGCCCACGCTGCTTCCGTAATTGTCAACTGGGCTGTTTGGTGTCATGCGGAATAGTCAACCGCTATATCCTCGGCCTTATGGTCTTTTAGATGGATCTGAAGTCCGAGTTTCCCAAATTTCCTCTCTAGTTTCTTCTTTTCCCATCCTTTTGGCTGTATATTTGCCTGAAGAAATTGAAGAGTTCCACCCTAGGAGTTGAAGCAAAAGATGACAGATTTTGGGAATTGATATTCGCAATTCCATCTTAGTCTCTTGCACTTCAATTCACTTACTAAATAGTATTGATACCTTCAAGGAGTGCAAGAGACTAATTTCCCCAGATTTTAAAGAGACTAATTTGCATTATTTTGTCTTTAAGTGAGATTTCTCGTTCTAAGTTTAGAAGATTGCTTCTGTCTGGCCAATTAAATTGAACACATAGGACGGTAGTGTATCCAAAACCATTGTCCATTTAGCCCGGATTCCATATAAATAAGTGCCATGCCAACAAAAGGATTTAGGCCATCTTTGACAAATGAGTTTTTTAGATGTTTATCTAAAACTTTACTGTAGCTTACTGTAAAAGTTGTAGAAAATTTTTTTGAAATGTGTAAATTTTTGAATATTTTGAAGAGTATAGTTTAAACATTTTGAGAAATTTTTTGAAATTACTGTAGCTAAAGTTGTTAAAAAATTTGTAACAGACAAACTTGGCAAAAAACTTGTTTGCCAAACAAGGCCTTAGTTCCATGTATATTCTTTCTACCTTTTACTAAATTAATTGTTTTAAAAACAATCATTATCGCAACTAGGGGTCCAAACGAGTCGAGTCGAGTAGAGTTTTGACCTAATTGAGCCGAGCCTCCAGTTAATTTTATGAAACTCGAACTCAAGCTCGAACTCGACGAGCTCAAAATATCGAACTCGACGAGCTCAAAAAATAAAAAAATAATAATTATTTTATTTTTAAAATGAATAAAATAATAAATTTTTAACAAATAAAAAAATATTAAGAATATATATAATTTTACTATTAAAATAAAAAAATAAAAATATATATATATATATAATCGAGCTCGTGAGCCCAACGAACTTAATGTTTTTGAACTCGAGCTCGACTTGATTAGCTTGAGTTTGAGCTCGAGTTCGACTTGATTAGCTCGAGCTCGAGTCGAGTCGATCGGGAGCAGTTCGATTCGTGAACAGCCCTAATCGCAACTACCTCATTTATTCATGTGAAAGTTAAAATAGTTGAATGATGGACTTTTTAGTCATTTGACTTGATAAAAAATGTAAAGGTGAATGTATAAAACCAGAAGGGAAGTATATATTTGTCTTGCCGTGGAAATTGGGATGATAGCGTATTTACTAACTTGGTCGGTGACACTAATTTTGATGCTGTAAAATGTAAAAGATGAAGCCTAATATTCTTTTCCTTTGGACGTATAAAACTAGATTGTTTTGGCCAAGTAAACAAAATTTGTTTGTTTTTGTTATTTTTTAAAAATTCAGGAAATTGACAAATTTGGAGAGTTTATTCGCACCTCTTTAATGGCACAAAAGTAATCACCGCCAAAATAGTAGTATTTTTGGATTTGGTTGTCGGGGCCAAAAGGGCAATCTTCAAGACTGCAGGGGCAGCGGGGGCTCAGTTTCCATCGCGCTTTTGCATTCATTTCGTTTCACATCCCACCATCTTCTGCTACACAAAACAAACTACAATAACTCTCCCATTTACTACCGCTCATCCCCCATCACTATTCAACTCTCACACAGCTATGGAAGACATTGAAATCCACATGATTTTCTGATGACTCACAGCCGAAAATCATTTTTTATACTGCATACAAATTTCCCTTTCTTTAATATGCATGACATACCCCTAGACATGGGCTCATAGCCATTTTTCTTCTTATCTTTGCGGGTATTCTGGACGACTGTGGTTTGTTTCAGTTCCTGGGGTGGTAATTTTCTGAGGAATTTGCCTAATGGGTTGAGTTTATTTAAAGGCCTCGTAGTCAAGAACATACGAGTCATTCCACTTTTTGCATTTTTTACATTGCTTTTGGTTGTGAGAAAAGGTGCAGACCTTTGGGTTTCAAGAGAGCAAGAAAACGCTTGTGGTAGTTAATACTTAGATTCCACTTTTTTGGCAGCATGAAAAACTTTGGTTCATGGGTTCTGTTCTTGGTGACTTCGACAGGTTTTTTATGCTTTGCTTTCTCGACTGAGAGCAGCATCACCTCATCAAGTCCCGGTAAATTCTACCATCTTTCTTCTTTTCATGCTTAAATTTGTCTCTCTCTATCTCTGTGCAGGATAAACCAGATAAGGACACCATGCTCGTCTACTTAGAAGTTAAGATTACATGAAAATTTTGAAAATGTATGCTTTTGTTTAGTAGTATGCGAGAAGGGGTTCGATCAATTTACGGTCATTATTCAATTTTAAACTCATAGAACTTCCTCTGAAGAGCTTGCCTATGTTCTCCTTCAGACTACATTTAATTCAACTTTCATAAGTTTCAACTCATGGCCTGGTGTTTTTATACTAATAGGAATTGGTTTTGTTGGATGATTGTTCATATCGAACTAACCTTGTATGCCCAAAAAAGAGAAACATATTGAATTGCAGTTAAGTTTCCTGTCGGAAGATGTTTGATAACAGTAATTGAATTGCATAAAAAGAAAAAAAATGCCACCGGAAGCAAAGCAAACACCATGGACAGTTTCTCTTGCTTCTTTTCCTCAAAAGAAAATCAAGAAAAAATAAAACTGAGAAATATCTGAGTGAACTTCAGTGTCCTGTTTTTGAACTTTTGTCTTCTGAAAATATGATCTTTTTATCTGGTTTCACTTTGGTTTAATTTCCAGATTATTCAAGTTTGTTTAAAGGGCTTAAAAGTTTTGGTTCGTCCTTCTCCATAATTGTCACAAATCTATCGGTACAAAAGGCCAAATTGACAAAAGTCACCCAGCCGCCAGTTTGATTCCTCAAGGGAGCTGCTTGGACCAGGAGTTTACAAGGATTATGAACAACCTTGTGCCTCTATGATAATAAAGATTGGTCCTTAAGAAATAGGCGTAACTGAGATTATCTGTATAATTAACTTTCCAGCCAATTGGACTTTTGGCAAAAGGATCAAGTAGGTCATTGACTGCTCGTAGCTAATGCTGTCTCTTGATCCCAGTATTCTTCTGGCATATGCCTGTGGTTACCTTTTCATTGTACACTAGACGATCGCCACGTGAACCGATCCCAATAGTAGAACATAACTGTTAACTGAATAATTGTTGTTTCTTTCATAAGCAATGGTATAACAGAAAATAGTTAGAGAAGCAGTGTATCAATAGAATGCTACAAACAATAGTACGAATTTTATCTAGAATAATTTTCTAGTCCAGGTCAGGTGCTGAATGCTGATATATCTACTTGGAAATGAATCTCAGGTTTGGTTCTCGATCAACTTGGGAGTGATATAACAGTGACTATCCAGAGTAGGAAGTTAAAGGTACTTTTAACAATTAAGACAGACTTTCAGGCATGGAAGTCACTTCTATCTGCGTGCAACTATTTGATTGATAAATACCTGAAAGGCCATTCCAGCTCCAATATTTTGTCCCCCCCCTTCATGTCAGATTAGTCCTAAGTAGTCACTTGGTTTTATCTGATTCTTTCTTTCTCTGATATGCAGGAGTACACTGCAAGTACTTATAAGGATGAAACAGGCCATGCAGAGCTTGATGATTACCGTCCAATCGATCCAGCTCCTAATTCAAAGGCTTCCATAAGACCTGGGCCTATCCAACATGGTACTCCTCTCATGCCTTACATCCCCAAGCCTTCTCCTCCCCCTGGTCACCAGAAAGAAGGCGGCTTCCCTTAAGACGATTTCCAAGCTCCCTCTTGATGCTCGTGCCTGAAGGGGAAGAATGTAATAATTTTTAGGTGTCGGAGATTATTAGTTTTCTTGTCTATCATGTAATATGTCTACGTTGAATGAAAACTTGCATGAGGCCCCTATAGGCCTTGCCTAAAAGAAAACCATAGTTGATCGATATATTATGATTATAGCTAGTGTTAAATTGTAATCCTTTGATTGTTTAATTAACCTAGGAAATCAGCATAAGCATTAAGTTGATTCTAGGCAGATAATTGGCATTTAAGCACACAGTAAAACTGCAGAGGCAGCATCAGTTAACAGGCTTATCTGGTGAGTCAATCAAAAATCCTATTCAGA